ACACTAGATAGAAGAGAAGAAATGGTAGAGAGGAAGGGAAAGAGATCCCTGAACAAAGTCAGGGGTTGGAAAGGGGTGATGTTATGTTAGACTGCCTGCTGGTTAGGGGTGTTGAGATCCTTTGCCACCAGGATATCTAATTTCTTCCTCTTGTTTTTTCTTCTTTGCACACAACTATTTAACAAACTGTGACCAATAACCAACAACCAGCCAACAGCCCACCACCCCTCTCAGGCCCTAGCATTTACATTCCCTCTGAAAAGTCCCCAGAATTCTAAATGCCACACAATCACAAAAAGTGTCTGTAGCTGGTAAAATCAGACCCCTGCTAGAGCAGGAGGCAAATCACGGTCAGCTGCTGTGGTCACTCTGAGGCAGCCCCATCTCCCACACCTGAGATTAAAATGAAAACATATAATATCTCTGTGTTTATTAAAGAAAACCAAAATTGTCACTACAACATCCATTTTAAAATACCTTGATACTAAGATTTCTAATTATTCTTCTATAACAGTTTGTGCTCCCGGATTTAAGTTATTTTGTTTGGTATTTCTTAATAAATATTTTATTTTGCATACTTATTTCACTTGAGTCCCTAAAACTACTTTATGTAATACTTAATTATTTAGATGAGAAAGAGATTAATTATCTCCCATAGATAAATTCAAATTAATTTCATTGTAAACCTGAGGTATAAATAGATTAATCTTGGAACAGAGGGAACTGGTTCATTTTCTTTCCACTTCTGTTTTCTTCTCTCTGACTCTCTGTCTCTCTGTCTCTCTCTCTCTCTTTCTTTCTCTCTCTCTCTCTCTCTCTCTTTCTCTCTCTCTGTGTGTGTGTGTGTATGTGTGTGTGTTTATTTTTAAGGAGAAAGGCCTGTTGACTTTATTGCCTGTTGTTGCTCCTCATAGCAAAAGATATGCCAATAAAAGCTGAAAAAACAAAAACAAAAACAAAACAATAAAAACTTTAAATGGATTTTATAAACCAGCCAGAAACCTGTGTGTCTGGGGCTTTTGGGGGAACAACCTGTGAGTCATTTTAACAAATACACTCATAATCTCGTAGTGCATGTGGTTTCCATGGTAATTAGGCCTGTTGAGCTGCCTTGCTTATGTTCCTGCAGAGGGAAGAAGGGGAGAAAAACTGTGAGCCTTGACTGTTGGCTTCAGCCTGCCTACTGTAGGAGAGAGTTTAGGGGTTTCCCTTGAAGATACTGGCACAGTCATCCTGGAGGGAAGTGGAGAGACTCTGGGACTAATGCCCTATTAGTGTTGGGGATTGCAGTTCACAGGGGAGAAGAGGACTGATTGGCACTCTCTGGGGGAAGGAAAGGACAAATGGTTTCTTTAGCTAATATATAATTACAGGTAAGTCTCTAAGGTCAACCTGATGAAATGCTTTGAGTGTCTGTGCACAGGGCTCTAATGATCTCCTAAAAGGCACCAAATACCTCTGGCATATCATTATTGCAGATTTAAATCATTCTCCCTGTACTACTCAGTTAGAGGTTGGCTTTATGTCTCTGATCTGATTCATACATGGACCTGCTATCTTTTCATTATTTATGAACTGGATTTGACTCCTTTATATTGGGCAGCCATCTTATAATGCAGGCCCGTGGATTTCCAAGGAGACCAACAAAGTTACAGGAGTTCTGCTAAATTTGCCGTTGCTCCTAAGGAAGCCAATATCAAAACACACACTCGGATGCACATCCAAGATGTCCCCCCTCATCCAGTTAATGGAATTTTATAGAGATCACTTGTTTCAATTCTGTTGAAGGAGAAAGCAGAGCCATGAGCCAAAGGTATGAAGCCACACATAGAACTTTCCAAATCCACCTTCACGAGGCTGGGCATCCGCTCACATGTGTGATTATTATGTATTGGCTCAAACTTTATTCTTTAGACCGTGCCTCTTTAAGGCAGATTTTATTTGGAGTTCTACTAAAATGGAAATAAAGTGAAGTTGCTTGATCTGTGCTCCCTACAACGTTTTTGGTTCTAAACTACTTTTTATCTTATTCTCAAAAGTAGAAATAATTATTACCCAAACATTGTTCTAGATTTGATCGTCTTAGCATTAGTAGTTGAAGCTTGACCTGGGCCAGTAAGATGACTCGAGGGGTAAAAGCATTTGCTGCTAAAAATCACTACCTGAATTGGACCCCTAGTGGGAAAGCGAACCGACTCACAAGATGCCCTCTGACTTCTCCATGTGTGCTGTGGTGTGCGTGTCCATATTCACACATGTACATACACACGCTGGAAAGCCTGCAAAATAAATACAGTTTTGAAACATAATTACAAACCTTGACTTAATATTTTACTGATCATCAAAGTAATTCATGGGGAGCATTAAAAATTTGGAAATAGTAACATAAATTATGAATAACGAAAGTAAGATTAGATTAGTAAGATTAGTAAGATTAAAGCCCTCATTTATTAAGTTTGCTATTGGTTCAAGTAGTTGTTGTAGCAAGGACCTGATTTTTACAGTGACTGAAGGAAATTAGAAAGTATTTATTTCTTTTTAATACAACAGCCCAGAGGAGAATGACCAAGGACTGGGTTGCTATGATCATTCAGGGGACCCAGTTCTTAAGATCCAGCAGGAAGGGAGAGAGGGAGAAAGACGGAGCCACTCTGTTATATGCCTGCACACCTAGCATCAAGGGAGGCTGGGAAAATAAACTTTTCTTAACATGTACGGGCATGCAGTCTTTCTCAAAATACTTAGTCTTGTGTACGCACCCGATGTGCTTGCAGGATGAAATGGAGTACATTAAATAATAAAGATATTTCAACATAGAGCTAGGCTACTCTGTAAAGAATGCTTGTCTGCAATACTTTGTCACAAGATGTGTAATAAATGACTCTAGTAAGTGACTAAGAGGCAGGCAGCATATACAGTGTGGATACTTTGGACAAAGGAATGACTAGTGTCCTGGGCAGGACTGAAGGGATCAGAGTGGCATAATTTAAAACTTATGAATTATTCATCCCTGGAATTTTCCATGTATTAACATTTTCAGACTGCAAAGTAACTAAAGCCTAGAAGAACAAACTTTCAAATGGGACTGCAGGATGTGCCATGTTCTGCGTTAGGAAGCTAGCTGACATTACACAGCGGGTAACATTTTACATTGGTGTCTTTTAACTGTACCAGGTGCATTTTCCTCATTTAAATTTCTTACATCCAGGTTGGGGATGAAGCTCATGGACAGAGGGCTTGCCTTGAATGTGCAATAACCATCTTCCCCAACAACAACCAAAAGGGCTCACACTCGTCGGTTCACCATGCAGGATTTCCTTTGCATAGGAAGTTGTATTGTTGGTAATTGGGCTATTTCTTATGCCTTGGTAATAATTTTTGTCTACAGCTGTTGTTAGAATCAAGAAGTGGAATCACTAAAATGATGACTGAGAACATCTAAGTCCCTTGATAAATAGTACCAAGCTGCTTTCTAGAGGCTTGTGGCAATTTATGCTATCAGCAATAATATATGAGCCCGCATCCCAGAGCACCCTTGCCCGGGCTTATTTTCCGAGTCCCATTTAGTCATTACTATCCCCAGGGCTTGTTCTTGGAAAATAGGTTGTTTGGGGTGGTGGTTTTTTTTTTCCCCTTGGCTTGTTTTCTTTTCCTCTGCTGTCATTAATCACAAGATAATGATTTTCTTTTTTAATAACTTTGGCTCATTTAAAAACACGTGACTCCTTCTAGCACTCTGAGAGTACAGTTGATTGGGCAGAGATTAAAACATGTGTGTCGCTGGGCTGTGGTGGCACACATCTTTAATCCCAGCACTTGGGAGGCAGAGGCAGGCGGATTTCTGAGTTCGAGGCCAGCCTGGTCTACAGAGTGAGTTCCAGGACAGCCAGGGCTACACAGAGAAACCCTGTCTCAGAAAAACAACAACAACAACAAAAACAGATAAAACATGTGTGTCAGTCTCACACCGTGTGAGATCTCTGGAGACACCGATGTTCATTTAGTCCTACCACCCAATGTGAATTTGACTTCCACCCTCTGTCATGGTCCTCTTGGTGTGAGATACCTTTATGTTCTGAGTCTGAAAAGAAGTAGGAATGGGAAGGTGCTCCCCCAAGGCAGTGGGTGCTCTGAAGTCCTCCAAGAAAAGGAAGCTCCTTCTGGTGGGAAGCACAATTAGGCTGACTCAGTTTGAAGCCACAGGAGCATTAGTAGCAAAGAGTGCAGGTACCTGTAGACATCAAAACAATCTGTGAAAGACGACAGGCTGAGGAGACCGTTACAACCACAGCTTACTTCCAGCTGCCCATTTAAAGGACCAGATACCCACAGATTGTACCCCCTAGCTCTTCCTCCAACAACTAGGGCAAGAGGATGTACAGTCTTTGCTTTGGACTTGGTGGGAACCAATTGGCTTGGGCCAGGAGGAGAGTTTAGGTACTTAGCTTCTGCCACCAAGTACAAGGTACTAAGTACTCCCAGGGTACTTAGCTTCTGCCACCAAGAACTCTTGCTTTGCTAGGGATCCTTGGTCCACTGTGCTCTCTTAGTGTTTGGTTGCTGTTGTTTGTATGTGTGTATAGAGAGAGAATTTACAAAGCAGAGGATCCCTATTTCATGTACTATGTACATTTCTTAAAAAGAGAAGGTTCACAAAACGTAGGTTCTGACATGTACTGCCGTTACCCTAGCCCTGGCCACAGACGTGGTCATTGACTCACTTAGCTCTTATTGCTTTTGCTACTTATCAGTTTCTTTCTTTTTAAAAAAGATGTATTTATTTATTTATTTTATTTATATAAGTACATTGTAGCTGTCTTCAGACACACCAGAAGAGGGCATCAGATCCCATTACAGATGGTTGTGAGCCACCATGTGGTTGCTGGGAATTGAACTCAGGTCCTCCAGAAAAGAAGTCAGTGCTCTTAACTGCTGAGCTATCTCTCCAGCCCCCTATTTATCATTTTCTTAAAGTATGTTTTCTTCTTCTTTTCAAACAGTCAGATCTCCAGGGAGCCTCCGGCCTTGAACATTGACCAGGTAAGACTTCTGAAATCTTTCCTTCTGGAATCAGCATGAACCTAAGTAGGACTTCAGAAGGGTCCATGAAAGTACCAGTACTCTTATAGACTAGGACATTTACGTTTGTGATGTTCTTACGGAAAACAACCACCTATAGTCTTTAACAATGTTGGTATGGCTCTGGTATTTGAAGAAAATATGATTCTCTATAGTGATAGTTAAAATCAGATTTTCACCTGCATTTGCCCTTTCTTCTAAAAAAATCTGAGTAGAAAAGAAAAATCTGAGCTGGAGAACATTTGAAGTTGTTACCTTAATAACGGTGTCCCTGTGGTGCCAAAAGTGATTAAGGGATTTCAGACATTATCATAACCTGTGCAAGACAGCCGCAGAGCAATTAGTTTGGAGAAGTAAGCCCTGATCTTAATGGATTGGTTATAGACAGTGCAAGAGCTTTTCCCTTAGCAGTAACCAGAACAAAAGGTCAGCTTAGGACTGGTGGGCTTCTTCTAGAAGACACTATTAACTTTGGAGATGAGTTAAAGCCAGTCAAAACTGGCTGCAGACTTGAAAGGCCCCACTATCCCGAGACAACCAATGTTGTAGTCTGTGTATTCCTACCCAGATGTGGGGTTTCCATTAGACACTGACTCAGGATTTTCACTCCACTTTAAAGTTTAACTTTATTATGAAAAGTTTTAAGCATATGTCAAAGAAATCCCCATGTCCTTATCATCCAGTGTCAGCGACTATCAACTCAGAGCTCAGGTGTTGTGCTTTCCCTGTCAGCTACTTCTCGCCTTTCTCCGTTGGGCTAGACTGCATGGTCACTTGGAGTTGGTGGTTGGACTTTCCATTACTTATTTATTTATGCATCTAATGGCTAGAGCAAAATGCTCATTAAAACAGAAAGCCTCGTAGCCTGGCTTAATCGGTTTCTAGAACTTGTCATCCACTTGTTTCTTAACACCACAAATGTACACTTAGCAGATACCAGGCACTAGACCTTCCTTTGGATAAGAGGCTACATTATTTTTTTCAACTCACAACAGTGAGGCCCTTAAGATCACCAAATGAAGTTATCTATCAGAGACACAGTGACAGAATGAAAAGATGACACTCATCAAACAACCTTAACAGTCAAATGTAGGCATTTGTCATGCATCACAACATTCATCAGACAGCCTTAACAGTCAAATGTAAGCATTTCATATATATCACAATTTTAGAAATGATGGGAGGTTCATTCCTTAACTTATTAATATAGTGGGATTATAAAGACAACACATAAAACAAAACCACCAACTCTCTATCAGTCTGTTTTATTGTGAATGTTCTTCCAGTGGTCTGCCCCCTTTTAAGAAAAACTCAGAGAGAGAGAGAGAGAGAGAGAGAGAGAGAGAGAGAGAGAGAGAGAGAACAGTTGTGGATTCCAACTTAACAATTTTGCTTCCAGCCTGTAGCCCGCATGCCTAGCGTTTGCTATATATTTAATAAAAGTGTTGAATTGAATGAACAAAAGAATGAATGCCAGATGTGTGAGCCTGAGGATGAACACCACATGGGCCACAGTGTTGCCAGTTGCACGGGGGAGTAATAGAGGCCCCATGGGTGAGGTGTGAGCAAAGAGTCACCAGCAGGTGGAGGAGGGTGCTGGCCTGGTGGCCCTGTGGAGAACAGCTTTGAGTAGTGATGAGATGTCTTCTGTCTGAAAGGGAGAGAAAATCTAATTCAGGTATAAAGAATCACATGTTGGAATACACACAGACCCTAAATACATGGTGCAGTCTGAAAACCTTCAGAGACTTAGAGTGGCCAGAGAGCAGCTGACTGAAGAGGTGGGGCTTCAGTAGCAGGCCACCCAAGCATAGAGGGACTCTGTAATCGTCTAGGTGGGAGGGCTGAAGAGAATATGCAATGAGAGCTTTTCCTGGAAAAGATGATTCTACAGGCAGAAGGGAGAATGGAGGCAGGCCAGTGGGAAGACTTGGGTCTAGGAATAGGGGACGGTATTGATGACTAAGTGAGGAGAGAAGAAACATCTAGAATAACTTCAAAACCTCTCTGTGGGCAGAGGAGCTGGAGAGCAATCATCAAACTTCAAATGGAAGAAGAAAAAATAGAATTCAGATCTCAGGATGGGTTCATCCATGTGGATATGCCTATAGCAGGCAGAGTTGGGTTGTCCATTAGAACCTACAGAAAAACATGGAAATACATGGCTACAGGGAAGCCACCCAGATCAGATCAGTTGAATCAAAAGCCTCAGGGGAGAGGCCTGGATATCTGTGGTTTCTCAGAGCTCTACAGATGATTTTTAAAGTGCAGTCAGGGTTAAGGATTTCTAGTTGAGAGCTTATTTGAAGAGGTGTGTGTGTGTGTGTGTGTGTGTGTGTGTGTGTGTGTGTGTAAGACCACATGGAATGTCTGCTGCCCTGTAATCATTAGATTTAAGTACCTCTTATCTTTTGGGGGAGCACCAGACCATCCCAATATTCCTTCACATATTACTAATAGCTAAGAATGTTTTATACATCTTTAGTATTCTTTGTTATGTTGTGTGGGTTTCATGCTAAAACATAAACTGAAAAAATTTCAAATCAATTCAAGCAGAGTTGCCCAGTGGAGGTTGTTCACACGTTCAGTGGGATAGCTCTTCATTGTTCTCTTGGTTCTTGTAGCTCATAAAGGGTAGTGGCGTCCTCTAGTCCTGGTGGCCTCTGACACTTTAGGGACACACTGAGAACTACTGTGCTTTTGCACACAACTGTAAAGGAGTTAGTTGGCATTCTCTTCTCTCCCCCAAAAGTATTTTTCAATAGAACAAAAGTATTGGTTTCAGTGCTACTCAGTGGTCCCTTACCTAAATCATCTCTGGGTAAATAAAACAAAGAAAGAAACTAAACAATGTAGACACATAAAAGGTGATGGTGTTTTGAACTCTCACAGGGACTTCGAGTAGATTTGGTTTAGTACTAAGTCTGTTTTTGTTTTTTAAGTCTAAACAGAGAAGCAAATTAGACACTAGGTATTAAATGGTCAAATATTAGGCTTTGAAACAAAATCTTACTAAGGTACCAGGCAAATGATACAACAGTGCTAAGAGGTTATTAGTTTTCTATTGCTGCTGGAACAAATTATTGTTAAGTTTAATAGCTTAAAAACATACAAATGCATATTCTAGTGTTGTGGGATAGGATCTGTAGGGATCTCACTTGGGCTAAGAGCCACATATTAAGAGGCCCGGGGGTGAGAATCCATCTCCTTATCTTTTTAGTATCTAGCTCAATTTTCAAAGCCTGTGACGCTGTGTATCTGTGTGACTTTGCACTGTGGGCACATCACCTTCTGACTCTCAGCCATAAAAACCGTTCCGTCCAGACACATCTGATGAACGGGGATAATCTCATCAGAAGGTCCTTAATTTAACACATCTTCAGAGTCCCTCTATTCAGGTCAGGTTGCACATTCACAAGCTCCAGGGGATTGAGACTTGGACATATTTGGTGGCTGTTATTCTGCCTACTACCGAGGAAACAGACAATTGTTCAGAACAGTAGAAATGCTTCAGGTAGCAGAGTTGGGGTCATGTCACACTTCATTATACCAGACTGAGAGGTTTTAGTGCTCCCGAGTTAATGAAGCAAGCTCTTGTCTTTGCTGCAGTTTCTATTCTGTGGGCCCAGGCACTGGAGAACTTTGCTTTCCTTAGAGATTGGCAATGAAGCAGACATGTTGAGATCTATTGCCTCCCTGTTCTTGGCTAGACTTTTAGGTCCTGTAGGTACAACCTGGTTACTGCTTTTGGTGTTTCTCCAGCTACTTGTCTACTATTCATAGGTTCCCAGGACTTTGAATAGCATCGAAGCGTGTGAGTTTTGTCGTAGGCAGGTAAGTCTGCCTGCCACACCACACATTATTTATTAGACTCTGAAATGTGGAGACTGGGAAGGGAACGACATGCTATTCAGCATCTCTATGTAGTGTGGCTATTACTGCCAGTTTCGAGGTGTGTTTCAGTTGCCTCCACATGTTAGATACACTATCCCTGCAAGTAAGAAACCATTTCTTGGCCTATGGATAAAATGGAGTATTGAGGTCTTTGGTTGTTTGCTTTTATTTTTAAGTCCACCCCTAAAGAAACATGTGAGCTTGGAAATTTGGGTGGCTATTTTGGGTTTCTCAGCTGCTTTTGTAGCACGTCTCCCCTCTATCAATGTTAGATACTCCAGCCCCACAAGTCTGAAGTGTAGATCTAGGGCTATCGGTAGAGCATCAAAATGTCCTGATTTTCCCAAGAGTAGGGGGATACAGTTTTTCTTTTCCCCCAGGACACAGGACTTTCAGAACTAAAACTTAGAGAATCCCAAGCATATTAGGATAGTGGGTCACCTTCAAAGGTCTAAGAAAATGACTCCAGCGGACATTGCTGTCATACTGATGAATTTTTAGGATGTAAGTTTTAGTTGAACTAAATAATTAAAACAGTCCCCAGGGTTTGGATTCAAAATGATGGAGAATCTATCTTATTTGGAAAATCCTGTATTGATTATTCTCTGTATTCGTGGGTTCAGTATCAGCAGATTCAACCACTCATGGATAGAAAGACTTTTTTTTAAAACCTTACTTGTGGTGATAAGGAACGTCCGTCAGTAGGTAGAGGCTTGCTTGAGATGCATGAAGGCCTGGGTTTGCTCCTCAGCACCATGTAAAGCACATGTAGTAGCACAGCCTACACGGGAAGCACTTGAGAGGTAGAGGCAGGAGGATTAGAAGTTCAAGATCATCCTCAACCTCAACTAAAGAGGGCGTTCAAGGTCAGCCTGAGTTACGTGAGATCCTGTTTCAAAAACAAGCAACAAACAAACAAACAAACAAACACACCCAATTCCGTAGTGTGCATCTACATGCTCCCCCCTCCATTGTTCCCTAGGCAATGCAGCCTAACAGCATTTTCATAGCATTTACAATGTATGAGGCATTACAAGTAACTTAAAGAGATGATGTTTAAGAGGTTATATGTAAATATTATGCCATCTGGCAGAAGGGATTTGAACAGCTACAGATTTTGGTATCCATGGAGGTCTTGGAAACAGCCCTTCATAGATGATGAACAAATCAGGATGGGTCGACACACTAAGACTTGACACAGTAACAACACACTCCCAGGATGCAGAAGAACCAGCAATGTTTGTGAAATCACAAGGTCCATTAAAAGTGGTTGCCGGCCCCCTTAGCTCCCCAGTGGCAGTTGCCGCTTCCTGTGTGCTGGCTCTGATAATGGGAGCTTTAAGAACTGTGTTACTGAGGTAGCCATGGGACTTCCCTGAATCTTCTTCAGTATGTCAGCATGTGTAGAGGTTATAATACCCAAGTCTGTCACAGAGTTCTCCTAGATTTAATCTTGCTTTTTGTATACTAAAATTGAACGTTTCCTCTCTAATAAACAGCATGGAGTGTTTGTGAAGAAATAGGGCTTTGGAAGAGCAGTCAATGACTTGGATGTTGCTGCATCTGCTAATGATACCTGCTCAGCCATCCATAGCAAAAGCCAATAGCGGGAGACACTGAGTGTCCCAGGGCGGTGCCTCTTGCTCTTCTGTGGCTTTTATTTGGAGCTTTGATCTCTCTAAACTATTAGGACTAAACAAAGAGAATTGCAATTGTACTGGAAAGAGCAATATGTTGGCTTCCTCAGGTAGGAATTTGACTTTTAAGTGTTGGCAGGGTTTTGAGTTGTTGTTGTTGAATTTTGATTGATATTTAAAAATGTGTTTCATTTTCTATCTTCCAAATCATGCTGCTTGATAGATCCAAGGAGTTCCCTTCCTTTCATTCTCAAAAATGATTTGACATTATCAGTCATAAAAGCAGCGATATTTTTGAACAGGGATGCTGGTCAGCTTTGTGAATTTATTTGTTTAGTTATTTATTGTGTAGGGGTGGGAGAGTGAGTGTGTGCTACGTTTGTGTGAGTGCACATGGGCCATAGCTTATGCACATGTGTACCACCATGCCTGTGTGTAGGTAAGAGGACAGTTAGCAGGAGTTGGCTCTCTCCTTCTACCATGTATGTTTTAGAGATTGAATGCAGGTCGTCAGGCTTTGCTACAAGCCCCATAACATACATGCTGAGCCATCTGCCTGTTCCCAGACTTGTGAATTACTTTGACTTTCTCATCAACCATATTTTGAATTTCTTCTTTCTAAGGCTTCTGATCCCCACTCAGTCTGATTATCTATCTATCTATCTATCTATCCATCCATCTATCCACTTGTTTATTTATTCATGTTTTGCGGCATGGTTTCATTGTGTAGTCTCCCAAATGCTGGGATTTCAGATGCACACACCACGATTTGCAACTCTGTGGACATTTTACCAAGCCTACTTTAGGGCTAAGAATGTAGCTCAGTGCTAGAGTCCTCCAGTGAGGTATGAATTTGAGTCCTACTCTAGGAACAAATAAAGTGACACAACAAACTGCCAAAACAGCAGCCAAACCCTCAGTTCAACATCTGCTGGTATTTTTGCAAAGAAACAAGTTCTATAAGAAACTGTATAATAAGTTAAGCCAAAATTCTCTTACTCTTTTCAAAAGAAAGATTAAAGAACACTTGTAAATAAGGAATCCAAAAGACTTGTTGCCTGGAAAGACATGAAGCTGACATTTGCATAATTTCTAAATGCTGTCCAATTGTTCACTTTAATGAAAGGTAAAGCATTTTACCTTGATTTTAAAAACTGACTAACGTTCTGGAAGGGAAAAAAGCTGCTTCCTCCTACCTTCAAACTCTGGAAAAGATCTGTACCCATTGTGATACACTCATGGTCAACACCCAGCCTTCAATTATTGTCTGTTCTGTTCATCACTGGGAGAAGGTGTCAGCCTCAGAGCCGTGGTGCCGTGATTGTGGAGCTGATAAAGGGGAAAGTGGAACATCTTGCTATTAGACACTAATTGTTCATTGTTCAAATGTGGCAGTTTTGTCACTAGGGTATTTACTGGTCTATCCTTGGCAAAGCTTATCACGACAGGACATTTTGAAAGTTTAACAATTTAAAGCAACTTGGGTTCCTTCCACTGGTCCTGGGATAGATTGTTCCTTCCAGCAGTGTTGGAAGCTCTCACTCTCCTTCAGTACAGGCTGTGACTGGAAGAATGGAAGAAGTCCAGATGTGACAATGTTAATGAAATGTGAGCAAGATAGCATATTTCATATATAGAAATACCTTTTATTAAACTATCTCCTTAGACACCCCAAGGACCATTAATTGATGGGGACTTCTTTCAAGGGATCACGAGCAAATTGGGCTTAATTATGAAATCTTGGGGCTTGAAATTTCTGCCAGATTTAGAGATAACCATTTTAACCTTTCTACAGAGACGTAACTAGGCAACCAATATAGCATTCGGTCTCTGCACTGCGTTCAAAGTGTAGAGCTATTGCAGCATATTTTTTTTTTTAAAGAAATACTATTTAAATCTCTTCTTTAGCTTTGGCATATGCTGCCATATAACCTTTATTTTATTTGAAAATATCACACACATCCCCAGGCTGGAACGTGGTCTGGTTCCTTGAAGGCCCATATCCCTGCTAATAAGGCAGTGTGTGCACAGAAGAAATGAAGCAGTTGGTAGTGGGCACGTACTCTGTGCTTTATCATGAGGTTAAGATGGTAGGTGTCACTTTAAAAAAGCTGTAAAATATTTTTTTTAAATTGTATTAATCTTGATAATTTCATAAGATAAATCTTGATTCCAGTCACCGCCCCATCCTTCCCCTTAACTTCTTCCTGATCCTCCCTCCCTCCCTATCCCCTTAGCCTTTATCTTTCCTTCCTTTTCTTCTTTTTAAATTAACCCATCAAGTCCAATTAGTGCATTCAAATAGTCTTCAGTGTCAATACATTCACTGGAGTGCGATCAGTGAGCCTACTAGGAGCCGCACCCTAAAGAAAACCGATCCTCTCCCAGAAGCAGTCTGGCTCAGTTAGGGATGGAATCTCAGTCCTTCCCCTTTGCATGGCTGGCTTGATCTGTGCAGGTCAAATGCAGGCAATCATGGCTGCTGGGATTTCACGAGTGCAGTTGTTCCGCCATGCTGAGAAGACAGTTTTGCTTCAGTGCTCTCCTACCTCTGGCTCTTAGAATCTTTCTGCCTCCTCTCCCACTTTGGTCTCTGAGCATTGGGCTGTGATACAGATGTCAGTTGCAGTGGATCACTCCAGTGACACTTGTTCTCTAAGCTTGGTCTGGTGTATGTTAACCGGTGTCTACTACACAAACCTCTGGGATAAGGTGTGAGAGCTGTACCAATCTATAACTAGAGGGATAGAACAGTAGTAGTAGATTCATCCCTGAGGCCTGTGAGTTCCCAACCATAGGCTATTGACTAGGCTTATAGCACCAGGCATGCGTTTCCTCCTGTCCAACAAGACTTACAACCAAACAGAAAGTGGTTGGTTATTCTTGTAAACAACTGTGCCATGATTGCAGCCATGGGCAATTACCACATTGGTTGGTCATTATTGCAGTTCATAAGGTTCACAGTGGGTAAGACTATTGATGAATCTCTCCCCGAAGCAGCCTTCAGAGCACTTTCCAGAACTATGAGAGTTAGTCATTAGGAAGAAGCATCCTGGTCAGTACCAACTTGATTTCTCCATGCCTTGTGACCGATGTGGGTGGCATCTTCAACCATAGGGAGGTGGTATCACTTTTCATGAGGGAATGTGTAAAAGTTTAGACAGCTATCCTAAGTAGGTAGAAATGAACATTTTTCCCCAGCATGATTAATGAAAAGAATATGTTGTAAAGAAGAAAACTGGGTTTTATTCTAATGAACTTGCTTTTCCTGTACTGTATGTGTGGTGACTAGAAATACCAAGT